CTGTACCATCAACACCGACACGTTACTACAACAAGGTTATATACCATACACCTGTACCATCAACACCGACACGTTACTACAACAAGGTTATATACCATACATCTGTACCATCAACACCGACACGTTACTACAACAAGGTTATATACCATACACCTGTACCATCAACACCGACACGTTACTACACAACAAGGTTATATACCATACATCTGTACCATCAACACCGACACGTTACTACATAATAAAACCATACACTATAAAATGTGTTAGGGGGGGTAGTTTCTAAATGATAAATATCGAGACGTTTTGTCGTGTACTTTAATATATTTAACATTTTTTGTTGTTAAGCTACATGGTGGGTTATCTGTGGTATATAAACCCTACTTTTAGCGTTATAAGTCCTTGGACTTTCAAGTTGAGCCACCAGAGGGCTTTTAATATCTTACACGGTTTAAACTGTTTGTTTGTTTGTAATTCAACACAAAGCTACACAATGGGGTACCTGTGCTTTGTCCACCACGGATATCGAAACCCGGATTCTAGAGTTGTAAATCCGCAAACGGACCGCTGTGCCACTGGGGGGGGGCGGTGTTAAACTGTTCGAGTGCGTTTGACAATTGGTTTTCTAATTACGTATATACATATATTTTCTTTGGAAACCTTTGTAATGTAATGTTATCCGAGTGCCACATTTGAAGTATTTCATATTAATTCAGTGTGGTGTTTTAAAGAGTAGCCAACAGTTCTGTGAAACGGGTACAAGAAATGTTTAAAAAAGTAAAAACTAGAAATCTTTAATACATATTATGTCCGCGTAGAACTAACGAACCGCTAGACTGATTCTCACTAAACCTGGCATGTACCCACAGATCGGCGTTGTGGTCTGTCAGATGGTATACATGTAAAGTATACAAACCTGAGACTGAAAGAGCATCCTATAACAGAAAGAGCTTCCTATTTTATAGCGCCTGGTGTACTGTAAATGTGCTATGATAAATACAATGATACGAATAATCCTTAATAAGAAAAATACAAATCACCGAAAGTTTTGTATCTGTAAAAGTACATGAAAAAAAAATGAAAAGTCTTAACCAGAAAGAGACAGAATCTATTCCTTTAGAGCCACATAAAATGTGTTGAGGTTTCACAATCAAAATATTGTTGTGCCCTCTAGTGGCAGCCAATGAACTATATTACAACTACATTTTTTTCATTAATTCATATAAAATATGATTTTGACACAGACATTCAGAGGTTACATTTACAAAATTTTTATTACAAATCTACATTGAACTCATCTCAAGAGTACATTTTCACACTTAACTACTCTAGCGCCCCCTGTATTAACGTTTGGCACTTCTCACAGACTTTTAGGACAAGAGGAAAAACGTCCATTTGTCGAAGAAGCTGACAGATTAAGACAGGTTCACAAGAAGACTCATCCTAACTACAAGTATCAACCACGTAGACGAAAAACAGGAAGGTACCCAGGAAACCATGGCACTGAGGAGTCAGCCTCAACTATCCAGGGCGCCACCGTCGTCTTTAGGTATAAAAACAATTTGTTTCTTTCTTTCTTGTTAACCACAAAGCTACATAATGGGCTATCTGTGCTGTGCCCACCAAGGGTATCAAAATTCGGTTTTTAGCGTTTCAAGCTTTCAGATTTACTGTTGAGTCACTAGGGGGCGGTATAAAACAATACGCAGTTGTCTAACTTTTATCATTGGTTCAAGAATTGGTTGGGTATTGATTTTTGATCTGGTCTCAATCTATTTGTTCGTACCAAGCATATTTAAAGCTGTGCCATGAATCTTTGAACAAGTGTGACAGAAACATTCTGGATTATGGCCGAGTGTCCAGTAAGTCATTTTAAAGTAGTTGTAAATATTCTGATCCCCTTATTTTAAAGTCAACATGTGTTAAACGTTAACTATAAAAGACTACTCAAAGCAATTAAAATATATTCGGAACTTATAATTATGACAAGGAAAAACCACCGCTTTCACATAACGTCAATAGTTCCCTTAGATGATCGTTAGAAAACTAATCACCTGATCCGAAGTGGAAATTACTGGTTAAAGATAGTGGTCTCACGAAATCTTGTCTCAGTTATCACTTGAAAATGAATCACAGAGATTAATATACTCCAAATTTTTAATTAACCATGGCTATACTTCAGAGAAGACGTCTGGATGTGTTACTCGTATGCAGAGCCATCGGACAAATGGAAGGCTGTTGCGAGTTGACTCCAAGTGTGGTTAGTAGAGCGTAGAACTGCTTCCTATACATTGGTTATGGTTGTTTGGACATCTGAATGACTCTGAAGCATAAACAGGCGACTGAATTCGTAGGATACAGGCTCCGAGATTGAATCAGATGTTCGCAGCCGTAACTGAACGCTTTCAGTGTGCAAATGATTAGAAACATACTGCAAAGCTGGTCCGTATGTCATATGCCAAATGAGATGCATTCTGCTCATAATAAAATAGCTCGCCTGCATTGACGTTAAGAACATGTCAAGGACAAAAACAACATGTAGAACAATAAACTTTTTTCACTTCGATGACGAGGAACCCACTTTGAGACTAATAATGGCTGGAGACGGCTTGAATGGGTAATGAAGAAAAACTTTAATGTAAGTTTAACATAACAGCAAATGTACAACGTTTCGACAGGATTTTGACAAAATGATGATGACAAAACCTTGTCGAAACGTTGTACATTTGCTGTTATGTTAAACTTACATTAAAGTTTTTCTTCATTACCCATTCAAGCCGTCTCCAGCCATTATTAAACTTTTTTAACCTTCACGGACAGAAAATAGGCTTATGTTGACTTGGAGAGAATCTAGAACAAGATCCAACTTTCCCTACAGGACGCATATGATAATAGTGGAAGTAGGTTGGTGGACGTACACACTTCTACATCCTGTGCAATGGTACCATTAATGCACACATTATAGGAACCGCATCTTATGATCGATCCTTTGTGATGGGGCCGACTTGACCTTAATGAGTAGTAGCACCAACTTCTACTAACCTGGTCGATTCATTCTGTAAGAAGAAGAGCAGACTGACCAATTGTACCTATCGAACTACATAAAACTCATCTATTATCAGATGGGATGTTCTTGCGCCACATTCTATCAAGTAAACCCAGGCACTAAGATGTCTTGAAACAGAAGGGTGGTCGTGAAAATCTCAGAAATTATTAATGCTCCGATCTTAAGCATATAACACTGATGCCAAACTCTTTCCTGTAGTATAAAAAAATATTAAAGTTTTATATAGGTTTCTCTTGGGTGTATTATATCATTCTCTGAACTAACTGGTTTCATAAAACTGGTCGTTTCTTTCCAGCTCTTTGAAGACAGAAAATGTTGGAAACTGTTGGTCTTCAGCAGCCACCCAGTGTCCACCCACAACCCCAAACTTCAGGGAGAATGGTTGGAAGAAAACAGTGGATAAATCTAGCAGTCTAGGGTTGCATGGACAAAGTGAGTTGCATTAATTAACTTGTGGAGGGGGGCAAGAAGTTTGTAATGGTTTGGTTTGTTTTGCA